CCCCAAAACCCCAAAACCCCAAAACCCCTAATATAAATTTGATTTTATTTAAAAATTCTGGATCTAATAAAACATAAAGTTTAAATATATATTTCCTATTATTGATAGATATATTATTTCTTAGGGCTTTCAGATATATATGCATGTAGAGTTAAGATTCAAAGATTTTTTGTTTGATTAAGCTCTATGACTAGCGTTTTATAGTTTTTAGTTGTAGAATCCATTTCTCGTTGATCCAATAAAATTTCGACCACTAAGTGAATTGTTAAATCTACTTCTAGATAAAGAAGTGCCAGGTCTTTATTCTTAATAGACCATGATCTTTTGAATGCTGTCCTACTCATTTAAAGCTTAGTTAAGCTTACTCATGTCAAATTTAGCCCTAGAAAATGATGGCGTTTACAGCACTTTGATATCTGTAGACTTATTATAATTAATGTAACCTACTTAGCCTCTACTTCCATTAAATTGCCCAGTACTCGATTCAAGACTATTTTAGTCAAATGTTTCAATGTTCTCATAAGGTTGTGAAAAGTATTTAGAGGCATCGTAGGTATTAATGGTGCTATTGAATCCTTAAGCATTATTGCGGCCAGTGAGGTTAGAACTGAAATGCTTCAAGTCATGATTAGGTTTGAACTCCCTTAACGATTTAAGCTGGGTTTTGTTCAGAGTAGAATTAATATCAACTGCTTTCTGCTCCAAACGGTTAGATACCAGTTAAAATCTATTTCGGAGATTCATAAGAGGCATTGTCATCTGCTTCACAGAAATTTAGCTTTAGATTAAACCGTAAAGATCAAGTTGATGCCCTTCTAGCTCTTTAATTGTCTTTGGCTAAAGCTTAGGCTTCTTATTAGGAAGTGTTTTTGACTTGTTAGGAGCATTAGATTAGATTTCATACTGGATTATTTCATACTGATTTATGATTTCACGCCAATCTCTAACATTATACTTTTCAATGTTATCAATTTTATCCACAGGTTTGTTGCGTATCAGACCTGGCATATCTTTGACCTTAAAAGATCTTTCATAAAGATAGTGAATCTAGTCCTTGCTCAATTTGTCCTTAAATTCTTTGATTTTAAGCTCTATTATTCTTTAAGACATCCTATTATTAGAGTAAGAGCGACTATTCCTTATTGGGAAATTCTGATTTGACACTGATCTCTCTGGAGAATTCTTGGATGCATCATTCATCTAAGATGTGGTCATTTGGGAGTATAACTTCGATGAGGTGGAAAAGCTATCTGCGAAATTATTAATGCTTTCACCTTAGCCTTGATTATCTGTAATGCTTTAACTTGTCTGATTATTGCTTATCTTTGACTGCACCATTATTTTTACTTGCTATTTCTTTGAGGCATCTCTTAGTGTGCTCTTACTCTTAAAACTTATCATACTTGTCAAATCATTACCCATTTATGAAGAGGCTACTCTCCCTGGTGGTGATCTTGAGTTATTCGTGGTGCTCTTCTTCTTTTTCTTCTTTTTGCCTTTAGATTTGGAAGAGGTAGACAATTTTGCTAAGGCTTTTTTAGTCAAATTTTATATTGAAACTGATTCACCTCCAATTAGAGTTCCCATCTATGAAATTTCCTTTTCATAGTCAGGATTGTAATCTAAGGCAAATGAGTCCCTATGAAAGTAATACTCCTCTTCCTACTCAACTTAGCTCTATCGTCCACTTTGCTTTTAACTTGCTAATAATGACAGTCTAGCAGCCTCTTCCTACCTCTCCTTTTCTCTCTAAGCTGCCAATTCTTTCATCTACTTAATCTATTCTTCATTGATTGTAGTGATATCAAATTTCTCATCAGCCCACTCACCTTTTCTGAAATAAGTGAAATTTCTGTGACTCTTATAGGTAACAAACTTTGGCTAAGGAATTTCATCAGGGTCAAAGTCAAAATCTATCATTCCAGTTTACTCATCTTTCAACACATATTGGTGCTTGATGATGTTTTTTGTGCCTCCAATGCTTTTACTTTTCTTGTGTATAAGCAAATGGAGCATTCTTACCTCCTCTTCCTTTATCCTTCTTTCTTCCTATTCTCTCGCTAGTTTTTCTTTCATTAGCTTAGACATCCGCATTCTTTGTAATTTTTTGCCATAAGTGAAGGATTTGTAAATTAGAGCGAAAGCATCATCAGTTCTTTTGGCTTTTTTCACACTTTCTCTCAGAGGGTCTAATCTTTCCCTAATTACCTGCCAATTACTCTTGCTTTCTCTATATTACTAAACAGACTAGCTTCTCATAGGGCTCAAAGAATGTAATTTTTCCAGTATGATATCATCTTAGAATCCTTCATTACCATTATCTTTAGTAGATTCAAAGAAATTGGGAAGTGGATAACCAAACGATGGTTCATGCTTATCGAATTTGCCAATAAACTGTTTCAAATCTACCTCATCATCTTCCTAATTACAAGTTAGCATTTGAGTATAAGATGAATGAATCCCACTTACATAGTCGTAATACGGCTTGATGATGACTTATTTAACTACTTTAGGCTTTCTATGTCTGATTGGCTTTCTGGCAATGTTTATACTTATGGATTATTCATGACCAGTTGTATTCCCTCCTGAACCTCCAATTGTAATGTTATTGCTGCTCAGCATTGGTCTACTCAATCTATTAACCATCATTAGCTTATTAGTAATTGCTCTAAATGGCACTAAAAGCATGATCAATTTATTTCAATCGAAATCTACATTTACTAGCCATTAATGGTGGCTGCGAGGTAGTTTGTTGCTGATTTAAGCTTTCCATGTTTTATTGAATTTTTATATGGTTTATCATCTGATTTAATTATCGTAAGAATATACTAAAAACGAATTTACGAGTTAATATTAATATAAATTAATTATACTACATTTTCCTTAACTTGATATTAAGTTAACTTCCTTCCACTTAATATCATTTCTTAATGCTATTGCTTTTGAATTGAAATTTGATTGCCGACTTCTGCGACTAATTGGACAGCATAGGATTTTTATTTTTATTTAATGACTATTGCGACTAGTTATTGTTATTAGCATTACCCCCGCTACATTCACCAGGGTTATTAGCCTTATTTTCTCTATTTTTAATGCTTTTTTGAATGGCCTGGTTGAGGTGACTGCTTTTCTGTGATTTTTGATTTTGCTCTATGATCTGTGACATATCGATAGTTGAGAGGATATCATCAAAAACCTCTTCATTCATGATCTCAAATTTAGATATCATAGACTAACTCAATTTTTGTTCCTTAGTAGTGCTATTTGCAGCAGTGTTCATTTCCTTGTACTCCACAAATGAATCTCGTTGTTTAGGAGAAGATACCCCATTTTGGTTTACAGTACTTGATCTGAGCATCTCATAGCTGATTAGACTATCATCATGTTTGTTAAACTTATCCTCTAGCAGTTTTTACTGCTTCTAGTTTTGCTTTTCTTCATCATCTGGCTCTATGACAGTCATAGTCATCTGTGTCTGCCCTCCGCACATCATAGACATTGTATTGATCTCTGTCATATTATCTCACAGCCCTTGGAAGTTCTATATTTGCGAAATGGATATTAGCTCAGACTGTTCACTGTGATTCACAATGTTACTTTGAGTGTTAGCGTAGTTTTTCAGATACTGAGTGGTATCTTGAACTACCTTAGAGATCTCTGTTTCTGTTTTGTTGTGATCCTGACTGCCAACTAGTCGAAGTGTCTTGCCTTTATAGTAGCGTCTGCGTCTCAGCCAGTGCTTGAACTTCATTCTTCGTCTGCGGTTGAACATCCCCATTTGCTTCATGGGTGGTGGAGGCGGAATTTTTATTGTTTGATATGGGTTTTGCTCCTTAAGGATTTGCTTCTTCTTTTATCTGAGCTGATTAAACATCTTCCACTTGTTCTAATTTAAGTTCTCTTCGATCTTATCATCCTCACTACCTTCTGACTTATGAGATTATCCCTAGTACTCACTCCAGTCTGGAAACAAAGGAGGCTTTGGCAGATAATGCTCATCGTTAGGATTGTCTTCTTCAATGGCCACTATAGGCTGGGTAGTAGTTTGGTTCTTTTAAGAGTCATAGACAGGCACATTCAGATTGATAGAGGAGAATTCAGTCATACCACTCATCTCGTCATCTAATTTTGTGTAGAGAGCTTGAGAGCGCTTCTGATTAAAAGTGTAGTAGTCTTCGATGTGCTCCTTAACAATAGGACCTCTTTATTTGTCTGCTGCAATTCTTGTTTCTGCTTTCCGTATTTGATCTTTTCAAACACATCATAAATCTTCTGTCTCTCCTTAACCTTTCTCTTGCTAGCATCCTCGAACCTGTCATTGTACTTCATCAGTTCAGGTATAATAGGCATTCCATCTTCGTTCATAGATTCTATCATGCCAGCAGTGCCACAATTTTTCTTTAAACGCTTCCTGTTATTGCCTCTCTTGCCATCTGGCCCAACTCCATCTTCCTCATCTGACCAGTCACTTTGATTCTACTAGCCGTAAGGGTCTATCACCATACCTCCGTTGTGATGGTCTCGTCTATGCTTGCCAAGCATCAAATCTGCTTGCTCAGTCATTTCAGTTTCTCTAGGTGACTCTAGCATAAACTGATTCTTTTTTTGCCCATCAACTATTGTTGATATGACTTCGGATTTCACCTAAAGTCGAGGATATATGAGTTTATCTAAAGTGCCCTCTCCATAAATGTAGTAAACTAATACTGAGCTTGTCTACCCGATTCTATGCGCTCTGTCCTCAGCCTGAACCATAATACCTGGAGTCCAATTCATTTCAGCAAAGACTACTATAGATGCTGCTGTTAAAGTGATCCCCTGACTGGAAGCTGTTAAACTCAACAATGCTACTTGGCATTTCTAATCTGTTTGATACTTCTTAACTGCTTCGTGACGCTTTTTATTGTCAATTCTTCCGTCTATTCTAATATATGATACCTACTTCTTGACTATGTAATCCTCTAATTAGTCCAGTACGTCATAATGATGAGCAAATAGCAGAAACTTCACCCTGTTGTCTATCAAAGTCTCGATAAAATTCTAGACTCCTTTGAGTTTAGCCATACCAGTAAGCGAATAAGCTCTCAATAGATAAGAATACTTGTCCTCAACCTCACATGCCTGAATCTTATCTATCTTGTCTAACTCCTGGAAATCCTCCTCAATCTTGTATTCCCATTTCTTGACCTGTTTAAGATACTTTGAGATTTTTTTCTAGGATCTTTCATCTACTCCTACTACTATTTTTTACCTTCGCTTGGCTGGCAGTTCAAAAAGAACCTCACTTTTAAGTCTTCTAATCATTAGACACTTCTCAAGTAGGAGATGCAACTCACTCATGTTTGAAGAGCCAGTCCAATCTACTCCATATAAAGTCTCCTTAGGGTTGCAATATCTGATACCGAACTCTTTAAAACATCTGAATACATCTGGTCTGAGAATTTTGAGTAAATTATATATTTCATTAGGCCTTCCAAGCATAGGTGTACCACTAAGCAGCATGATTCTTTTACTTCTCATTATTATGGGAAGTAAATGTTATGATCTCTTAGACTCTCTAGACTTCAAGTAATGAGCCTCATCAACTATGACAACTTTGAACTGCAATTTAGCTAGGAGCTCTGACATCTTCCAAGCTAAAGAGTAGCTTATGATATAAAAATTGATTTCAGCAGATACGAATTCCTGATTTTCCTTGGTTATTACACAGATTTCAGTCATACTGATTCTTGGCTCAAGCCACTTCATAAGTTCATCTCGCCAGGCATATTTCAGTGAAGATGGTGATATTATCAGGACAGGCCAGTCTCTTTGATAAAGGTAACTTAGAGCAATTGCTTGGACAGTTTTACCCACACCCATTTCATCTCCAAGGAGAAGTCGACCATAATGGTCTATTCCAAATTGAATACCTACTTTTTGAAAATTGTAGAGCTTCTTAATAAGCTGTGGAGGAAGCTGACCAATCCTTGCTTTAAACTATAGCAATATTTGAATAATAATATTTTCTTACGACATTATCTTTTTCATATTTATAGCTGACTATAGGCCTAATGTGGGGTGATGAGAAAGGTATTGGATTATCTATAAGGTCAAACGCTATCTGAGGAATCTCATATACCTCTATGTTCTTCTTTTCAACTGATTACTTGATCTATAAAAGTTAAGCATCATCAAAATTACTCTGATTAGCACATCCTTATATGTTTCGAGTCCAAGTACCCATGACTTGTTTTGAAAATCATATTGTAGTCCTTACTATTCCTAAAGTATACTATGAATATCATCGGGCAGTTAATAGTTGTTGGTGATGGAGTACTTGTCAACATGAATCAATTCAAAATTTATGAATTTCTGCCCAGCTTGCTTAATACTTGTAATCTAGCCGGTCTTATCAGAGGAGGCTTGCATCTGTTGCATTTAATGTTGAGTCATTGGTTTCTTGTTATTTTGCATAAGCTTTTTTTTGTGCTAGTATTCATCTCTCAATTAATGGAAAATGACTCATGCTTGATCGTTAATCTGCTCTAACTTCTATTGTTACTCAGTCATTTAAGAGGGATTTTAATCTTGAAAATCCTGTGGATTTTGCTAGTTTTAGTCTGACGTTCTAGCTTGTTCGAGTTGCTAGCCTATATTATACTTATTTGAGTTTTTCTACTTCTTAGAAGCATTTTAATTCTAATTGGAAGCATTATTTCTGCCATGCATCTATGATCCATTACTAGTTATAGCACTTGAAAGTCCCTTAGCTTGAGATTCACTTGCCCCTCCATTATCTTAAGCAGAGCACATAGTATTCAATTTTTAAGTACCTTATCTGCTAGCAGTTACTATTCCTAACCCTGAAGGAGTGTACTCTGGATTCAAGTCATCTTCAAGTGTTGACTAAGGCATAGGCTTGCTTAGACTACCTATGATAGTGATCTAGGGAATAGGAGTGTTAGAAGTGCATATCTAGTTTTAGAAGTTACTCCTCCAACGCTAGAACTCCTCTTAAGTCTGTTCTTTACTCTCTTTTTCCATTGGTGCTTTGTAATGAATTTGCTTTATATGTTCTAATTATTTGAAACTATTATTTATTATATAAATATTAAAGTCTAATTCTAAACATCATTCATAAACTTTTAATTTTTAACACTAAACTCTGGACTATCAAGACTTTGATCTTCTCTTCCTTTCCTCTAAGTAGCCACTTACTCATTATCATGTTTCTATTATTTATTAAACTCGAATTATAATCAATTTAAGATTAAATATTAATTTTATTAATTAAAGTAGAATAATAACAACCAAATTTAGGGATCTACCCCTTATGGGGTTTTGGGGTTTTGGGG